ATGAAGAAGGGAGTGGCTTGAGGATGAGTGACTGTGATAATCATGGGAAGTATGTGAGTGCTGTGAGCTGGACTAGGTAGGAGGCCTGAAATCACCTCTGCAGATGCAGAGAGAAGGATATGCAGAAAGAGTAATCTGCATAACACAATTGAGATAGAATCTAATGTTTTGGAGTCAGTGCTTTAGCTCTGATGTGTAATCTTTCAAGCCCCAAGAAGTCATAGCCTCTATCTCGAGGCTGGATACCAGCCACAGTGTGGAGCATTGGCTTAACATCCCGCCTCATCCTGGCTCACACATGGGAACAACAGGGGGTCTGAGGAAAACACACCTGCTGTCTTCAAAGACTACCATTGGCACCTCTGCTAGATCGATGTACATTGCTTAAAGCCAACTGAAGAGATAAGAAAAGGGTCCTAGCCAGCTCTGTATGTATCAATACATGACAATATGGTCAGGCTCAGCCAAAATGGAGACAAGTGCTCCTTTTTCAAGGAGATGTGCCCAGGTGATCCTCCACACCCACTCACATGGTGGGTTGGGAAGAATGGCTGAGAAGATCCAGAGCTCAGTACTCTGCCAAAGTTAGTGCAGTCTTTCTTCCCCTTTCGTATTCCCTGTCTTCTCTTCTTCTACCAGTTTTAGGGGACCCAGAGTGCTTTCTTCATGTTTTTAGTGTAGTGCCCATCTCTGGTCTAACACGTAGCAGGAAGTATTCAGTAGATATTTGTTGGGTGAAGAGATAAAGGAAGTCAGGCAGGCAAGTGGAGGGCAAGTAAGAAGTGACAAGCAAGTCATAAAGTAAGTCAGAACACTGTCAGGACTTTGCAAATGAAATAACGGCACCCTGTAGGGAGGAAAGACTGGGGCACCTGGTCATCTCTATTTTTGTCCCGATATGACAAAAGTCATAGCCTCTATCTGAAGTAGAGAAGTACATCTCTGTTTTTATAGAGAAGCATCTCTATTTTTGTCCTGATAGGATGATGGTGTGGATTTAGAAGACAGTGTGTGTAAGGCACTGCCACCTACTCCTACTAGAGGGTCATATTTAAGGGAGGCTTACAGAATCTAAACTGTGGAAGAAAAAAAATGATGATGGAAAAGAATAAACAAATCTGAATAATAATGAGGGACTCAGCAGGCAGGTAAAGTTGGTTACCACCATAACTATGTACTGTTAATTAACTACTTGCTACTTCAGAGCACTCTGCTAGTTGCTGAGATTACAAAGCAGAAGGCAGTGTTCTTGCCCCTGCTCCCCAGGCTTCTGACCTAGGACACTGAATTGGGGAGAAGAAAAAGAAGTATTGACTATTTAAACCCAGTACTGATGGAGACTGAGGCAGTAGGATCTCAAGTTTGAAACCTGTCTGGGAAATTTAGTGAGCCCCTGTCTCAAAATAAAAAATAAAAGGGCCTAGGTTTAATCTCCAGCAAAACACACACACACACATACACACACACACACACACACACACACACACACACAAACACACACACACAAAGTATTGAACATTTGTTTAGCACTGGGACAAATGCTTAAAGATATTATGTCATGGGCTGAGGATATAAGCTCAGTGGCACAGTGCCTGCCTGGCAAGTGCAAGGTCCTGAGTTTAATTCCCAGTACCAAAACAAACAAACAAACAAACAAAAAAGATATTATGTAAAGTATTGTCTTTCTCCAAGGTGAAATTACAGTTCAAGTAGGTTCAAAAATGTCTCTAGCTCACCCATCAATCAAGTGGGAGATGAACATAGGTCTGTGTCACTCAATGGTCTTGTGATGATTGCAGGAGTGTAAAGGTTTCATGTAAGCAGGCAAAAAAAAATAGTTATGACTATAGTAGGTAGGTGAGGTTCATCATGAGGTAATATTTGTGTATTGCTACAGGAATCTTGAAGAAAAGAGATTTACTGATAGAAGGGGAATTTTACAAAGGATATAGATCTTCAAGTAGGAGCTGTTGGTAGAATTTGAATCCAATAAGAAAGAATGATGAGAGAGGGATGTTTAGTGGGAGAAGGCATGGTGTGCATAAAGGTGGGAAAAGTCTCTCCTTCCAGTTTGTGGGTTTTTTTCTTTAAGTTCTATTTCCTGACTGTAAGTACAATGAGGGCAGAGACAGTGTCTGTTTATTTCAGCCCTTTCTCTCTAGTGCCTACAAGAGCAGGCACTCAATATATCTTTGTTAAGTGAATCGAAACATAAATGTACAGATGAATAAAGGAATCATGAATTAATGAATAATGATATCTACTTCTATGCCATGGTTCTAAACCTCTCAGGGAAAATGTGTTTTTTCTGGTGAGGGGACAGTTTGCTGATGGGGAAGTTTTCAGAGAATGCAGTTAAAGAATCACAGGGCCTCTACAGGTCACCCGAGAGAGCACCAGGTCTCCAGCCTGCCTCCTCAAACAGGAAGGAAATTACACAAGCACCCAGTTCAGCTGGCTCCAGGCTTTCACAATCCAGCTCTTTCTGTCTTGTGTAACTCTGACATGCTGCTTTACTGGTGTGACTTGTGGTGTGCTTAGTGCAGTGACACGGCATGCTCTCCACGCTGCCAAGCAGTGACCCTGCAAGATGTCTAGACTTCCAAATAACTGAGTCTGATAACTAAATGCAAGGCAATAGTTCCATTAATGTTTACCAGATTTGCTATGTTCTACAATAAAGGTAAGCACAGAGAACTGGAGGAGATTAGGCCCAGCCTGACATGAAGCAATGTACACATGGTTGGATAATATTTATAGCTTTTCAAAATATGATTACATGTATCAGCTCTTCATTTACATTGTTATTTGTTAGAAAGGTGAGGGAGAAAGAGAAACTGAGACCATGAGAGGAAGTAGCTCAGGATATTGATCTGGTTTCTGTGGTGTAGGCCATTTGTGCTGCTATAGCAGAACATATAAGTTCCCAACAGAGCTTGGGTAACTTATAAAGAAAACACCTTTATTTCTCACTATTCTGAAGGCTGGGAAGTCCAGTATCAATGTATTAATATCTACTGAGGGCTTTTTGCTGCATGAATCCATGGTGGAAAAGGAGAGTCTGGGAGAGGGCCATGGAGGGGGCTTCATTGTGTGTGTGTGTGTTTTGTCTGGTATAACAAACCCACTCCTGAGATTCCATTATTAATCCACTCATGCGACCAACTCACCTCAAGGCCTCATGGCCCCTTAGGTCCAAACCACCTCCTATAAATGTGGCATTACATTTCTAAAACATGCATTTTGGGGGGACATACTCAAACCTTTGCAATGACAGGTATAAACTCATAGACTCTCACCCAGGGCCACTTGGCTGTTTCATTTAAACTGGACCTGCATCTCTTCTCTCACTTTATATGGTTGCTGTACAAGTTCCAAGAACTGAGGAACATAAATCAGTTATGATTAGGCTTGGTGCCATGAGACAGAAAACACCGGATTAAAGGACAATAGTTTTTTTCTTTCATGTGGAAGTCTGGAAATGGGCAATTGGGCGTTGGTCTGGTCTGGTGTGCATGGTGTTAAGAACTCAAATGCTCTTACACTGTTACTTTGTCATGTGTAGTTTTTATTCTTGAAATCCTTACATGCTGCAAAAGAGCTGCCAGAGCTCAAGATACTAGGCTACTTGATGATATAAGAGGAAACCAAAAAGCCAAATACATAAAAAAGCCTAGAAACAAAGCCAACCATAGAGTCCAGAGAGCAAATTCATACTAATTCACATCTAGCCAAGATGAATATCATTGTCATAGTTCATAAGGTGGCCAGAATACTCCATTTATTAAACTCCTAGGGTACACAGAGGAAGAACACCTGGAAGCAATGTCATACATGTAATCAGCGTTTCCGTATCTTTTATCTCATTTGCTCTTTATAGTGCCCTGAAACGTAGAGATGAGCAGGCCTTAATATTATCCCTGTTTTACACTTGATTCCGACTGTGCTAAGTAATAGATCACAGAACCTGTAGCTAGTTCTTTGGATAGTTGTTAGAAATGAAAAGGTGAAAGATCATGGTGGCAAAGAAAGAAAATGACCCCAGACCTCTCTGTCGGAGAGGTGCAAAGACAGTGAGCTGATCCTGTGTCCTAGGCTTCGCTGCCCGAGTTGTCAGCTCTGCTACCTGAGTCACCTGTAGCCCCAAAAGCATTGCACTTGCTTATTTGGGGATTGTTGCCCAGATAGCAGACAATCTTAATATATCTGGCATATAAGCTCAGTTCGATGAACTCATTGTTCCTACCGAGAAGTTTTACCTGTCACAACCCATGCGTTCATGGAAAGTCGTTCCTTTTCCTGGCCCTAGTTTCCTTTTCTAGGGTAACAAGACTTTTGGACTTAAGGCCATTAAGCTATCTTCCAAATTTCAGGTTCTCTCTGCCTGAGAATTTGCCTTTTTAATGGGAAGAGCTCAGTGTGAACTTTTCCCTTTTGTTACCACCAGCTGTTTGTCTGGGAGGCAGGCAAAAGCGCTCCAGACCCTGATCAATAGGACAGTATAAGCAACATGTGGCTTGTTGGAAGAGTGTGGGCTGAGGGCCGCCCCTACGAGACCGGATATCGTTCACATGCACTAATTTATCCTTCAGATTTACACAACTCCATCCCTACTTCAGAGGGCTTTAACTTGAGATGAGTCCTGTAAGACCCCTGCATCAGGATGAGGCACCTCTCAGGAACTGTGAACGTTCCGCGGGTTTGTTACTATTGACACCAGCCTGCAGGGATCCTCATGCTAGGGGAACAGTGGAGAAGCAGAAGGTCAGAAAACGGGTCAGACACACATACCCGTCCCAGCTCCGCACAGCCTGCCCGGCAGAGCTGGCAGAGCTGTGGACAGAGAAGACACTTGGCACCCAGAGCAGACGCTGAACCACTCCGGCCCTTTAAATTGGGCTAGGGCGGGGGCGGAGCCTGAGTATGCCTGGGCGGGGTCTAGTTGGGTGCTGGCCAATCGCAGGCGCCGTTGGAACGGCCAATCAGGGCGTGTGTTGCATCCCTGCATGTGCGAGGACGCACGCCCGCCGCCCATCACTTCTGAGGGGGACGTAAGTGACCGTCCTCAGCCACGTGCGCGGCCCGGCTCCGCAGCGCGCAGGGGAAAAGAGCCGAGCTGCGCTCCCCCCCAGGCCAGGCCCGCCCCCGGTCTCGGGGAGCCCTGCGGTCCCGCGCGGGGGAGGTGTCCGCCGCCCCGGCAGCCTGCCCGCCTCCCGACCTGGCTGCTCCGCTGTCCGCCGCGCCTCCCGGCCCACCGCCGCCCAGCGGTGACGTTTAGGGGGGCGAGGCGTGTGGCCGCAGAGCTCCTAGTAGGAAAGGCCAGAGTCTCTAGATGTTTATCAGCTAGCCTTCTACTTTAGGGTCGACGAGACGCGCAGTGGTGAATTTCCCTGTCATTGGCTCTGTTCCATCGAAGCAATTGTGTCTTGAAGCTAACTTCGTCCCAGGAGTAAAGGGTCCGTCCTGCCCGGCAGCGCACTCTGCCTGGGATGTGGGGTCAGGTGGTGGGCTGGGCTGTGCTTTTCAGTTGCAAATCAGAAAGGAGGAAAGGCTTAGTCTGTGGCCAGATTTAAGTGGCAGCTTTTGCTTTGTATTGATTTTGCTGCCTTTTCTCCTCTTTGGTCTGCCAAGGGTCTCTCTCGATTTTAAATTGCTAGCCGGGTTTTCCAGTCTGGTGACTTCTGCACTACTGTAAGGGCCTCTCCTGTTTAGAGGCCTCAGGCTGGCTGTGAACCTTAGGGACACTGGCCTGGCCCCGGGAAGGACTAGGATAAAGACTGTTTTTAAGGATATTTTGGGAGAAAGAACCGAAACTGAGAAGGGCCTGGGATTCATTCTCCGAGGGAAAGTGCTTGGAGCCTCCCTGTCTTGACTGGGAAGTCAAAACATGTGCCTGGAGAAAGCAACAACCCACGGGGTGGCCGTGCCTGTTGGATAAGAAATGTCTTGGGAGGAGAATAGGTCTCCTTCAGGCAGTGTTAACATTTGCCTTGGGCCTGGTCTTTTCCTGGAATTCGGTTCCTTTTCCCTAACCTTTCATTTAGTTCAAATCAGTCAGTTACCAGCTGGCTTTTTAAACAATTTGAGTCTTATCCTTAAACTCACAGCCAGAGTTGTAACTCTTCATGCACAACGGGATTTGAAATGTTTATCTTATTAGAATGTTCCATAGAGATCACTTCTCTTACCTGCCCACCTTTTATAGTGGAAGAACCCAGAACCGACCCATGTGGGGTCAGAGGAGGTCATGGAGACCAATTCTTCATGCATTTGTTTATTCATCTTGTGGCACATAGTCTGGGCCCTGCACTGTGGTATGCTGTGGGGAAGTAAAGACGATTAAGTCTTGTCTTTGCTTCAAGCTTTCATCCAGCATATAGCACAAGTTTGATTAGTATGGCTGGAGGGAATCACCACATAGGAGCTTAGGGAGGGTGAGTGGACTGATCAGGAAGGGTCTGGTGAATCAGCTTAAGGGAGTTTGAAATATATGTCCTAGGCAACCAGTGATACATGTAGTCAGTTTTGGCTGCAGGGTGGATAAATGGTGAAGGCTGGAGAGAGGTACTGTAGTCATAACAGGTGAGACGTTAGGGCAGCGATGGTGAACCTTTTAGAGCTTTATGATACAAATAGCTTGTTGTGGCACATAGGTTCATCATCACTGGGTTAGGGTAATAGATATGGGGATAGGAAGAGGTTGGGATATTATAATGGTTAAGAGTTAATTACTGATTTGAATACATAAGATGAAGAAGGAATGTAGTACACAGGTATCACTGGGAAGACAGATGACAGTCTTAACTAGAATATTTTGTAACAGCTTTGTGGTGGAATAACTGACATACAGTTAAGCACACATTTAAGTGTCAAATTTGAGAAGTTTTGTCATAGGTGTACATCTGTGAAACCATCATTATAATCAAGACAAAGAACATATCTCATATTCCCAGTGATTTCCTGTGCCCTTTTATAAATCTCTGTCTACATATCCTCTTGGGTTAAGTTTCTTTGTGTTGTATTTTGTTCCATTGATCCTTTGTCTATGTTAGTGGCAATACCACATAGTCTTGATGAATATAGCTTTGTAGTAGGTGTTGAAATCATTCAGTAAGTCCTTTAACTTCGTTGTATTAAAAAATAGTCATTTCTAGGTCTTGTTTATTTCTATTTTATAATTTATCCATTTCAAAATAGAAGCATGCTTAGAATTTATTTCGTTGAATCTATATTCTAATTTGAGTGAGAACTGAGTTCTTAAATACTGAGTATTCTGACCAGTGAACACAGTGTATGTGCACACTTCTTTAAGTGTTTGTTAATTTCTTCTGACACTTTCATAACTTTCCAAAGACAAGTCTCAGAAGATATGTTTGTCAGCTTATCTGTAGATGGTTCATATTTTTTGATGCTAATTTGAGTAATATTGCCTTTTAATATTTTAGTTTTCAATTGTTATTTGTATATCAGTCACGGATCTTGAAATCTTGCTAAACTACTTCTTAGTTTTCATAGCTTTTTTGGTAGATGCCATCAAATTTCCTACCTAAATGATCATGTCATTTATAAATACAGTTTTCTTTCTATTCCCATGGGGAAATGCCTTTTATTATTTCTTTTTTCTTGCTATATTGCACTGGCTGTGACCTCTGCTTTGCATAGAAGTTGTGAACAGACATTTTTCCTTTTTCTTCATCTTAGGGAGAAGCATTCAGTTTTTCCACATTAAATATTTTGCATCATTTTGTTTGTATATCCTTTGTAGAAACTCTTTTCAGGTTTAGAAAGTTCCCATTCTATTACTACTTTGCTGAGTGTTTCCTTTTTTGTAAATGAATAGTAGTTATTATATTTTATCTGTTCCTTTTTTCTGTTAATAGCTGAATGAAACAGTACTCAGGAAGTCTTAATGTGTTGAACACAATTCATTAATTTTTTTGAATATTAAACCTTAAATTTCTAAGATAAATCCTATTTGGTCAGGAGATATTATCCTTTTAATGTCTTGTTATTTGCCATTTGCTAAGACTTTAACAAGTTTAGCATCTTTGTTAATGATGGGTGTTGATTCATAGTTTTTTCCTTGTGTTTTCTAAGTTTGTTCTTAGTAATTCTGTCCTCAAAAGTGAGTTGGGAGTATTCTTCTTGATTTTCCTGGAAGAATTAAACTAAAATTGATATTAATTTTTTCTTACATGTTAAGTAGAATTTATCACAAAGCCATCTGCCTAGAGTAATTGTTTGGGGGGTAAGATAGAGAGTTAAGGGCAAATTTATTTGACTTAATAGATATAGGATTGTTTAGGCTGTTTTATCCCCCAACTGATTGATAAATAAAAATTGGACATAAAAATTTTCAATTTATAAATAAATACTCATTATGAAATGATCACAGTCACCTAATTAACCCATCATCTCAGTTATTCTTTTTGCATGTGTGATAAAAACAAAATGTATTCCTTCACTGAATTTCAAGTACTGTATTGATGTTAACTGTAGTAAGTATGTTACATATTCAGAATATGAATACTCCTAATTCATTCTTTGAGGTCTCCAGAAGCTACTCATCTTGTGACTGGAAATTTGTACATTTTGACCAACATCTCAACATCTTATTTTCCCCACACCCAAGCCTCTGCTCACCATCATTGTAACTTTTTTTTTTTTAAATGAATTGGACTCTTTTAGGTTCCATATGAAAGTGGCAAAATGATAGGAAATTAACAATAGTTGTTATATTACATATCATTATCTTCAAATTAGTTACTCAGATAACCAGATATAGGTATATAAGATTGATCAAACAATTAAACATTAACTGTTCCTTTCAATAAAGCAATAGAAATTAGTAGTAGAATTATCTTAGCCATCTTGTGAATACACACACACACACACACACACACACACACACATACACATTTTTTGCCTTTTCTTTCTTTTCTCTTTTCCCTCACCCCAGTTGTTCTTCCTCTTGAGCAGTTTTTTCCCCTTTCACAATATCTAGTGTACCTTTCAGGTTTTATTTATTCTTTCAGGTTCTTAGGCTAGGAAGCCAATACAATGTTTACATGTGTCTGATCTATTTCACTTATGAGTATGGTCTCTAGTTGCATCCATTTACCTACAAAAGCCTTGAGTTTATGTTTCTTCTAGCTGAGTAATACTCCATTGTATAAAAATACCACATCTTTTTTTATCCATTCCTGAGTTGATGGGCATTTGGGTTATTTCCACAGTTTAGCTATTACAAATCATGCTGCTATAAACATGAGTGCACATATATCTCTGTGGTATGTTGCTTTCAGTTTTGGAAAAATACCCAAAAGGGAAATAGCTGGGTTGAATGGGACCTCTAATCCTACTTTACTGAGGAATAGCCAGACTGATTTCCACAGTGGTTGCACCAGTCTATACTCCCACCAACAGTGGAGAAGTGTTTGTTTCTCCCGAGTCTCTCCAGCATTTGCTATTTGCTGGGTTTCTTAATGATGGCCATTCTTTCTGGTATGAGACAGAGTCTCAGTGTTGTTTTAATTTGCATATCTCAAATGACTACATGATGTTGAATATTTTTTTCATGTATTGCCATTTTTATTTCTTTATCTGAGAAGTGTGTATTCATCTCAGATGCCCATTTTTGGATTGGGTTTTTGAATTTTAAGAGCCTGATTTTTAAAAAATTCTTTATATATTCTAGATAGAAGTCCTTTGTCTGAGGGACAGTTGGCTAAAATTTTTTCTCAATTTGTGGGTTTTCTTTTTACTTTGTTGTTGGTTTCTTTTGATGTGCAAAAAGTTTTTCAATAAGATGAGATCCCAGTTGTTGATTCTTTGAAGTATTTCCCATGTACTTTTTTTTTTGTTCACAAACTCTTTGTCTTCAAGATTTGTACCTGCTTTCGCTTCCAGTAGATTTACTGTTTCTGTTTTAATATTTAGATCTTTAATCCATTCTGACTTTAGTGCACATTGGTAGACATGGGTCTAGTTTTAGTCTTTGGCATGTGGAGAGTCAGCTTTTCCAGCACCATTTATTAAAAAAGGTTGTCTTTCATCCAGTAAACATGTTTGGCCTCTTTTTCAAACATAAAGTGGCTGAGTGTGTTTGTAGTTGTGGTTGCATCTTCTAGTCTCTTCCATTGATCCTCAGATCTGTTTTTGCCAATACCATGCTGATTTTGTCACAGTAGCTTTGTAGTATAATTTCAAGTCAGGGATTGTGATGCCTCCTGCCCTGCCTTTGTTGCCCAGGATTGGTTTTGCTATTCTAGGTCTCTTCTGGTTCCAGATGAGTTTTAGGAACGTTTTCTCTAGATCTGTCAGGTTTACTAGTGATATTTTGATCAGGATTGCATTGAATCTGTATAACAATTTTGGGAGTATGGCCATTTTCACAATGTTAATTCTTCCTATCCATGAGCAAGGAATATCTTTCCATTTTCTGAAATCCTCTTTG